GCAGCCGACAAATCTGCGGCAACTGTGTGATGCCATCATGTCAATATGGACTGAATAGGGATAGGGACAAAACTCCCTGAGGAATGCTTCCAGCTCCTTGTTGAATCTATGCCACGAAGAATTGAGGCACTTCTGAAGGCAAAAGGGGGTCCAACCCGTTACTAGCATGGGGTACCTAATAAAGTGGCCGGTGAGTGTATACTGCTGATGTGTTCGCACTGATAGTGACGGGATGGAGTGGTTCTAAAGTTATCCCCATGTAGGGGTGCATGTATATTGGTTATCCTATGATGAGAAGTGTAACAATTCCAACACCTTTGCTCAGATTCTGTTCATGGTGGAGAATCCTGCTTCACAGCAGCAGGTTGAGCCAAACATCCTCTAAATGTGCAGGGTCATCTTTGAGCACCATTTCACTTTTCTTTCACCAGTTCACCACAGTTCTTCCAGCAGTCCACACTTTCTCTGCTCTCTTTTTCTCATCATCTTCTCCTTCTTTCCCATCGCCCGGCTTCCAACAGGTTTGCCTGCTGTGTCTAAAAGTAGCAGCAGCAGCAACCCGGACTGACAGCAGCTCATTGGCTAATTTGGATCACATGCAGCCTGGAGCCGGATGCTACAGAGGGCTTTACCGTATTAACAGGAGAAGCGGCGCAAGTGAAATTAGACACTGCCGTCGGAAAACATGCAGTTATCTATAAATGTTTTAAATCAGATTGGGTCTGGATTAGCCAGCAGGTGGGTCCGGATCCAGCTCGCGGTCTGCTAATCAATGACTCCTGATATAGTATAATTTTTCAGATAAAGTCTTACAAATTGCGTTTTGATTGATCACTTTCTCTGCTTATTTCCTCTGGAGTGAAGCCTGAAGACTAATCTCTATCAGTCTGCTAGACGTTGGCAACAACATTATTATTGGTCAAGATCGAGTGTTTTTATTGGGCTTAAAGCAAAGAAAATGTTTTCTGGTAAACACAATATAAAAAGAATGCAACTTGTAAAACTCCATCTAAAAGAGATAAAATTTGAAGAAGAAAAATTATTAAAGAAAAATATATATTTTTTCTTTCTGAAACCATACAATTTGAACAAAATAATATGGGAAAAAATGAAAAAGTAAAATCTAAGAAAACACTTTAGTTACTCTCAAATCATTTGATTGATTAAAAAGTTTTTCAATTTTTTTTGGTTAATATAATGGAGCAAAATTCACTCCATACTAACCCTGGGTCAGCTCTTTGGAGCAGTGATGCATCTAAAGTAGCAGCTCTCAGGGAGTGGAGACGGGCATCCCTGCCTGATATACATTCAAGGTTAATCTCAGTGGAAAATAACCGATCTGCCCCCTCCTCCCCACCCTGAATCACAGTAGCTCACACAGGTAGATACTAAAGTCTGCATTGCCCAACCCAGACAGGCGGGGCTCTCTGCCATTCAGAGGGAAATAATTGTCTGATTGCAGGGAGTGATGCACCAATTAGACTAAATTAACAACATGAGTCATCCAAGGGGACACCTGTCACAGTGAGGCACGGTGTGTGGCTCGTAGCAATGGGAAGACAGTACCAAACCAATAAAGTTTAATTAATCCATCTTATTATCCACAGCCTGCTGGTTCTGATCTGATCAGAAATGTCAGAATGAGGAGAGTCGTTCAGCAATACCTCACTGTTGGCGCACAGGTCTGCGTCCATCGGCAGCGCGTGTTTAGACACGCTTTCAGCTGATTCATGTAACATGTCGATTCATGTTGGAGAAGCAAAACCACCTGCGGATTTTTCCTTTTATTCTTAATAATCTGTACCTAAGGCTGGTTTGTAGAAAGTAAAAGACTCTTAAATAACAGTAAACATTTTGAAATAATGAAAAAAACAAAACAGGAAAAAGTTCTGCCCTTGAACAGAACATAGGAAGGTAAAGAAGGGAATCTATGGAGTGAATGTTGTTTCATTATTGTTGCAAGCAAAGAATCGGTTCTTTAAATGGACATTTATAAAAACAACAGGAAAAAAAGTATATTAATTAGAAATTTCATAAAAAGCAATCCAGAAATTAAACTTAGAAAAACTTCTTTAGAGGAAAATTGAGTGTACACTGCAAAAAAATGTATTCAATTAGGTGTATTCACCCTTAATTTGAGTAGGTAAATAAGATAGTTTGCCAATGGAATGAGTATTTTTACTCTTGAAATAAGATAATTAGATAATATGCACTTAAAACAAGACAATGCAAATGTGTTTTCTTATTTTAGATGTAAATTGTCTTGTTCCATTGGCAAAATGTCTCTTTTATCTCCTCAATCCAAGAACAAATGCGCTTATTTTAAGAAAAAATGACTTATCTAGATTTGGATTTTTTCCAGTGTAACTTTGCCGTTTCCTTGGTTTTTATTTTTTCACATTATTTACTTTGTAATATTTTTTTTTTCAAATATGAACCTAGAGTAAGTGTGCAAATCATTTTTTATATTAACCAAAAAAACGTTTTTTGTTTTTTTTTTATGTGATGTTGGAAAAACAAAGTAGCAAATAAATAAAAGAGGAAAGTTGCTTTTTTCTAAGATTTTACTTTAATTTTTTTCCGTTTTTAAGGTTGAGTTTTATAAATTGCACTACTCTTCATATTGCATTTTGAAGATCATGCTCTCTTCACCTTAAACTCAATACCAATCTTACCCTTGAAGCTCACATATAAATGGAAACATTTATGCAAACTTCCTGTGAACCAATAGAAATGCGTGTTCACTCCAGGAAAAGCCTCCCCCAGATGTGAAGAGAATGTGAAGCACAATCTGAAGAGAATGCAACCACTAAAACCTGAAAAAGAGAAATCTAAAAAAATATATAATTAGAAAATATAAAATCTGAAAAATATACTCAATAACATGTGAAATATATGAAAAGTTTAATCACTTAATTGGATTTTTCTTCAAACTTCCATTTGCAAAGTGTGTTTATTGGTTGCAACAGTAATGGAGCAAAGTTCACTCCGTACTCCTAGAAACAGTCTGAGCTCTGGACTGTCTGGTTTGTGGTCCAGAGTCGCTGAAGGCTGAGATCGATGAGGGACCCTGTGACCCGTGGTCTGTGTGCGCTGCCTGTTGACTTTAACCAGTTTCTGTGCTCATTTAAAAACAAGCTGACAGTTTAAACTGTGTCAAAGGTGCAGCTCAGGAGAAAAAGGCTCTGTACATCATATATGCATATTTCTAATGGATTTTTTTTTAAACTTATGATAAAAAAACTAAACCTGCTTTTCATCATTCTCTGTTGCCATTATTGATACATTTAATTTGTATCCTGACTGATAAACACTCTGTTTCTACATCAAAAGGTCCATATGATCCTCTGTCTTCCTACAAAGATCTCCCTGAAACTTCACATTTATCCCCTAAACCAGGGAACCAATTAAAATCAGCGCGGTCCGAATAAAGAAAATCATCATACAGTAAAGGTCCAGAGACATTTTTAATTATAATCTGTTACTTTAAACAGAATTTAACACTGAAATAAAATGAAGTGTTTATGCATCCATGTTATACATTGAATTTCTAAATAGAAAATTATAATAAAAAAATAGTAAATTTTCCCATTTTAAAATCTTAATTATTTTTGAAGTAGAGAAAAACAATATTTCAGTTTGGTATTTCTTTATATTCTTTATGGCTTAATGATAGAGGTGGGCTTTAGGCTGCCCTGCAAGAGCCACCACTGATGCTGTGTCTCTGTTTGCGTTTTTGTCAGGAACTGAAATTTTCTCTTTCCTTGATGTTCTGACCAGAGGCTTTGGGTAGGATTGATTAGAACTTAAAACTGCTGTAGCTCAGTTTATTTAAATAGCATCAGTTGGTCTTTGACCACACAGAGCTGCTGTGGGGAGGCATTATAGGACGGTCTGGCTCTATTTAGTAGTAACCATGTGGCTCTCTGAGAGTACTGTCGTTCTGCCACTAGAGGGTGCCACATTTATGTATGACTTCTAATCGCGCCCGGAACTGGAATTCTATTTAGGCTCAGAAAGGACTGTCTAAACCAGCGATCCCCAACCACCGGGCCGCGGACCAGTACCGGTCCGTGAGTCATTTGGTACCGGGCCGCACAGAAAAAAAGTATATATATATATATTTATGTTTAATTTATCGACGATCAGAGTCTGAGTGATGTTTTATTTTGAAAAATATAGAAAATTGCGGTATTCTCTCCCAATTACATCAGTCGGTGCATCTGTGCCTCTTGACACAGGTTAATTCAGTTCTATAACATCCTATGTTTGTGAAGCGGGATTTTCTGCGGTTACAGCGACCAAAACAAAACTACGGAGCAGACAGGACATCAGGAGCACACTTCGTCTGTCATTGTCTCCGATTACGCCTAGATGGGACCGGCTTGTTGTTTTATTTTGATGCTGTTTGTATTATTTTTTATCATTTTACTTGATAAAATTTACTACAAAACCATGATGGCAATTATTTTACATCTAAGTTCATATATACACACACACCAATTTCAAATGGATGATAACAGTATGGTATCGATATCGGTCGATATTGCACAGCCAGGTATCGGGTATCGGGGCCAAAATATGGCATTGGCACAACACTAATGTATATAACAGTATTTTATAATGGTCAATTGGTTTTTAGTTCTTTTTGTCAAAGCATATAACGTTACTATACACGTTTAAAGGAAACCAGGATAGCTTCTATGCACATTTTCCATTTATTAGATTTACCCTCCGTTGTATTTACTAGTATGTCATACCAAACTAATATTCACATGTTCATATTAAGTGTGTTCCTCCTCCTTTTATAAAAGAAATAAAACTGAAAGTGTCTCCAAAGGGTTGTTGATTTAAAATATTGTGTGGAAGAGATGTAGTTTCCAAACCTGAAATAAAAATCTGATGTTTTTTTTTGTTGTAAATTAAAGAAAAAAAGCCCAAAGCAAACGTTTTTATGGTCTAATGTGAATCTTCTCTCTCTTCTGTTTATCTCTTTCCAGCTCGTAACTTTAATGTTCAAAAAGCAGAAAATATGATCAGAAAGGTGAGATCTATGAGACCTCTTTACAATCTGTTACATACCGTACATGTAAAGACTGATATACCATAGAGAGAGTATACAACATGCTTAAATTATCTGCATGATTGTTAATGTTTACACTACAGTTTATCAACTGTTTATTTTATCTTTTGGCCTCCATGGTGAACCTTATTGATCTGTTAGCTGTCTGCTGCGTGCTCTAATGTCTAAACAACAGTCTGAGGCTTTTTCAGAAATGATGACGACGAAAATTTACACAGAGGAGTGTTTCTTATTTTCTCTTTTTTTTGTTAATTTTTAATTTTCTTTCGTGGACTCCTGCTTCCCTTTGCTGGTCCTACAGCATGTGGAGTTCAGGAAGCAGATGAAAGTGGACAACATCATAGCCGATTGGAAACCTCCAGAGGTAAGAAAAAGAAAACAAACATGTTTTTTCACCTTTACTCGTCTAGTCGGGTGTCATATCGAGCGCCGTCATGCCTTTCGCTTTATAATGCGAACAGAAGGAGGTCCTTTTTTGTTGAAAGCAAAGAACATGTTTTGTAAGTGGAAATGACAAAGAAACAAAAAAAAAGAACACTTTTAATTGGAAAAATAGCAAACCAGAAATTAAACTTAAAAATAATGATTAATCAAAGAAAGATATTGAGAGTAACTTTGCTGTTTTATCAGATTTAGTTTTTTCACATTTCTCTTTCAAATTTCTCACATATTCATTCATACATTTTTTTTGCAGATTTTAAAGTTGTTGTTTTTTTTAATAAAATTTATAATTATACATTTTTTTTATATTGTCTATCTCTTTATTATTTTCCTGTTTAATTGCGTTTTACAGATCTAATTTGCTTGACTTCTGTTGACTTTTATCTGGAGTAAAACATTTTATTGGTTAATGTGCTCTACAAAAGCAATAGAAAATAAAAAATTACAAAAAAAATTTAAATTATAAAATCAGTTTGAAAAAGAACTTTGAAAAAATTCAAATTAAGAAGAAATTTTAATCCTAAATGATATAGAAAAGGGGGGAAATGTCCCCTTCACTTTTTACTGTCCAAAAACAATGTTACATTACACCGGAAATACATCCGCAACGGAAATAGGATCCTACGCTACTTCCGGGAGCTAATGCTTTCAGCTTTGGATTTAAACATAAATCTAGTCTTTTTGAGTTGTATTTTTTCCTTTTGTGTAAACATTATAGTATATAGTGTGTAATCTAAAGAAAGAAACGAGTAAAACGCAGATAAATCATATTTTGCTCGACTGCTCTGAACATGTCCCATGATGGCAGACAAGCTGTTTAACGGTGAAAATTTGAAAAGGATCAAAATTATCTAAGAAAAGTCATAAAACATTTTTTAAAGGTGTGTATTAACATTTTAGTGAGTTAAGCAATTTTTGTACCATAATTATTGAATCCCGGATGTATATCTGGTTGCATATGCGCAGGTGATCCGATGGTACGGATCGTGCTTCCAGGACGGTTCAGGCAGTGACACCGCTTCCCTGAGTTTAGACCGCCCACACGTTCCTCATTTGCCCTCTGTCTTTTCTTGTTTAGCTATATAGTCCCCGTTCTATGTGGTGATTGAAGGATTTAGGGGTTAGAGAGAGAAAGAACTATGAGAACAGGAACTTTTAAACAGAGCGTGCACGAGGAGAAATAGGCATGTGCACGCTCTTGCACGCTTTTAATAGCCATTTCCTCTCAGGAGCGTGTACAGGGTTGTACATGTGAAGAATTTAAATGGCTAAATACACTTAACCGATAATTTTTGGCTCATTTAAAGATTGTTTTTTTGCCGTGCAAAGTTTAATTTCTGGACTGCATTGTTTGTTATTTGGTTGCAACAATAATCAGACAAAATTCCCTCCATCTGTGTTTCTGCTCCTTTCTACGGAGCCCCTTAGGGGACATGAGGAATTTTTTTTTTCTTTTGCGTTCCCTCGCAAAAGTATTGCTTTACCTCGCAAAAAAGAAAAAAAAATCCCCATGTCCCCTAGGGGGCTCCGTACCTTTCAAACAGCAGTTTGATAACTATTGTGCTTTTTCCTCCAGGTGATTGAGAAGTATGTATCCGGTGGGATGTGCGGCTATGACCGGGAAGGGAGTCCCATCTGGTACGACGTAATCGGTCCTCTGGACCCTAAAGGCCTGCTGCTGTCAGCCACCAAACAGGACTTCATGAAGACGAAGATCAGACACATCGAGATGCTGCAGCGGGAATGTCGGAGGCAGTCGGAGAAGGTCTGGAAAGACTTCTCTTCTTATCTGTCCTCTGTTGTCTTCGCTCTTTCTCATTAAAATACTGTTCAAATCTGTCGAGATCATATTGTGGATTGAAATCTTCTGCTTCTATCTGTGGATTATGTTACTTTCTAAAAATCAAACATGCACAAAGTACGTCACTGATGTTGTGAAGACTTTTCAATTTCCCACGGTCCCTGAATGCATCAGCCAATAAATCTGTTGTGCCAAAAGTTTTAGTCAAAAAAAACAAACATTTGCAAATGCAAAAAAAAAGCAACTCTTTAACTTTTTTTTTTCAGTTTTCTGTTGCAAAACTTTTTTCCAATTTAAAATTTTTCCAGTTAAATTTTTTTTTCAGATTCCAATGTTTTTTTCCCCCTATGAATAAACTTTATGGCCCCAAATTTAGCGCCGTACTGATCCCTGCTTCGTCTCTATTCCTCTAACATTTCCGGCCCTCTCTCTGTCTGTCTGCTGCAGCTGGGGGAGAACATCGAGTCCACCACTCTGATCTATGACTGCGAAGGACTGGGTCTGAAGCACATTTGGAAACCTGCTATTGAGACTTACGGAGAGGTTTGTTTTGCACGCTCACCTTCACGACATGCTGTCTCTGGTCCACTTGGACTCTGCCTAAACGGTGCTTTATGGTTGCAGATCCTCACCATGTATGAAGACAACTATCCCGAGGGGCTGAAGAGGGTTCTTCTCATCAAAGGTACATCCACCCATTTTTCTAAATCTCTCTTTTTTTTCTCCCATGTTGTTTTAAACTTGAGGTAAAAATATTTCTGTCTTTTGCTGAAGCTCCCAAAATGTTTCCTATGGCCTACAACCTGATCAAGCACTTCCTGTGTGAGGAAACCCGACGGAAAATCATGGTTTTAGGAAGTAAGAGGACTCTTCTTCACAGCTCAAGCAATAACATTTCTCACATTCATTCCCCTTTATTTTAATTAGTTCACAAAATGACTCAATAAATCCTTTTTTATCCCCTAATTATTTCATTTGGACAAATATTCTTAAATCAGTTGAGATCGGGAAAACTAATAGGAGAAAAAACTTGATAGAAATAAATAATAAAGTGTGTAGCAGCAGGGTGGTTTTAATGCTGGAGGTTTCTTCCTGTTAAAAGGGAGTTTTTCCTCCCCACTGTCGCTACAAGCATGCTTGGCGTGAGGGATTGTATTTGAGTCAATGGCTCTGTCCGAAAACCTAGGACGGGTCCTTCAAGGATGCGGTCTACCTAAACTGGATCCTTCGAAGTCCTTGAAAATAAGGAGGCCAGAAGAGTTTTGGCTGTAAATTCGACCAGGTCTACCCTTCGGCGGATTTTACCGCCGTATGCTCTGTTGCTTAGCAACCGTGAACGTTGACACACAAAGCAGGAAAAGAATGAATACAGAAGTTTTCAAAACTATTTATTTATTTCTTTTTTATTGTGAAGTGAACAAAGACTACTGTACACTCACAAGAATCCAGAGCGGAATAAAGGTTCCAACCACCGGGAGCAGGAACAAATAAAATCAAATGTAATGATAGAAACCTTAGTCAGTTAAATAAAATGCTGCTGTCATTCTGCACATCTCTGATGTTGCTGCTATTTTCAAATATCCATTACTGGAAAAATTTCCATAGCTGGATATTGGTTATTTATTCCCCAGTTTTATATTGTTAAAACACTTTAGAATATTTTATTGTTTATATTTTAACTCTTCCCTATTATGTTATTCTTATACATTTTTCTAAGGTCCACATTTGTGTGACCATTTTCAATAATCTTTCTGCTGCTGTAAATTTGCCCATTGTGGGAAAATAAAGGGATTTTCTATTCTATTCTATAAAAGGGGTGAAAATATATAAGTAAATCTAAACAATGTATTTATAAAAAATATATCTGCAAAATCTCTAATATTCAACAACAAAAAATACGTAGTTAAGCATATTGTGCAAAATAGCAATAAAAAGATAAAACTCCTATCAGATTTATAGTCCCGACCCTGCAGATCTATTAGAATCTGTCCTTAAATTCCAGCCAAACCCATTTACACAGTAACAGATAAAACCTTTAGATAAATCAAACTTTACTGCCACATATCTGACTCTATAACCATTAAAACAACTATTTTTCATTAATCTCAGACGAAACTATTAAATTACTTGTATTATGTTAAACTGAACTTCCAATTTTCACCACTGTTCGGCGCCAAGTAACCTTCCTCTGATCACGGCTTGCTTGGTCTCGCAATGAATCCTGGGTAAACCAAGGATAGCGAGGATACATCAGACCCGTCCTTCAAATTGGGCAAAAAGAAGGACGCATTTTAAGGTCGCATAACGAGGACTCTTGGAATCCGACCAGACCTCGGCGCCGCGCTATGACGTAATGGGCCTTCGAATCCGGTCTTCTAAGGATGCGTCCTAGGTTTTCGAACAGAGCAAATGAGTCGATGCAATCACTTAGTTTTCCTTAGATTTAAAACTGAATCAATCTGACTGTATGATCTGGTTGAACTGTAAAGTGCCTTGAGATGACATGTGTTGTGAATTTGGCGCTATATAAATAAACTAAATTGAATTGAATTGAACACGCTTTAACTGCCAGAAGGGGGGAGAAGGGAGTTAAGTGTTTTATACCGGAAAAAAACAAAAATGTTTTTTACTGATCTCTTGGACTTTAAATGGCCTTGTCACTACCTGATCCACACCAGAGGCACGATCCATACATTAATGTATTTTACATATATATAGATCACATCACAATGATTGTAAAAATCATAATCTTTTCTAACCTCCTGATACCAAACAGTAATACATGTTATTATGGAACCTTAGTAAATCCTATTTTCCAGCAGAAGTATTATTGGAGTTATTTTGGGGTCATAATCTGCCTTATTTCATTAGAATCAACCAGCTTTAAAGCACAAGAACTCAAATATAGAGTCTAACACAAAGATTTTAAGCAATGATTAGCATTTAAATTAAAGAATTCAATTCAATTCAGTCTATTTATATAGCTCCAAATTCACAACACATGTCATATCAAGGAACTTTTCAGTTCAACCAGATCATCCAGTTAAATTGATTCAAAGTTTTCTATCTAAAGAAAACCAGTTGAATGCATCGACTCATTGACTCGTAGGAAATCCCTCACACTAAGCATGCTTGTAGCGACAGTGGGGAGGAAAAACTCCCTTTTAACAGGAAGAAACCTCCAGCAGAACCAGGCTCAGTGTGAGCGGCCATCTGCTGAGGCCGACTGGGGTTCAAGGAGACAGAAGCAGAGACACAAAAAGCAGCTGTAAAAGGCGGCTCCATCCAGGAAACACACAGCCAGGCAGACGAGCTCCAAGTCAGCTCCCATGTCAGAGGACGAAGAGAGCATATCCACCCAGTCACAGTCAGAGAAATAGGACTACACTGGAAAACAGGCCGATCTCCAGCATCTATAAAACAAGGGTGTTGATGGCAGCAGCACAGCTGATATTTCTCTCCAGGATGGAGTCACAGCCAAACAGAAACAGACGAGGCAAAGCTACTATGAGAAAAAGCAGAGAGAGCACAATGTTAGAGATTGAACTAACAGATTCTGCAGAGTGGGAGAATAGAGACAGAATGAAGCAGAATGATGAAAAAGGGGACCCTATGTCCTCCAGCAGTCTAAGCCTATAGCAGCATAACTATAGAGATAGCTCAGGATAAACTGAGCCACCCTAACTATAAGCTTTATCAAAAAGGAAAGTTTTAAGCCTAGCCTTAAAATATTTGGTATAAAACTCACACTACATGTTACTAATCATTTAATTGGCTCATTTCTGAAAGGATGCAGCACATAAATCCACTAATATTCCCACATAACATTTAGTTCCTCCTTGCTAATTGAAACCATTTGTTCTTATGTTTATTTACCTGTTACCAGGTAACTGGCAGGAAGTGCTGCGCAAGTACATCGACCCAGACCAGCTTCCCGTGGTTTACGGAGGAACCTTGACTGACCCTGACGGCGACCCTCGATGCAGAACCATGGTGAGAGGAGGAGGGAACCTGAAACGGCTGCACAGTTTGACCGAAGTGATTCACTGACCCCGTTTTGTCATCAGATCAACTATGGTGGAACCGTTCCCAAGTCGTACTACGTGCAGGAGTCGGTGAGAGTCCAGTATGACAGCAGCGCGACCATCAGCCGCGGGTCTAGCCTACAGCTGGAGTATGATGTCACTGCTCCCAGCAGCCTCCTGAGGTACGACAGCAGCTTCGATATATGGTTGAAAACACACCGACATGCAGAGAGAAACAAAGGTCCCGAGACATTTTAATAATAATCTGTTACTTTAAACAGAATTTATGCTGCCCTGCAAGGCTTTAAACCTGGGTTTGAATGGAGACTAAGCCAATCTAAAGCACATATCAAGGAGCTCATTCTGAGCCTGGATCCATATTTATTTATGATTCAGTTCATGGTGGAGAATCCTGCTTCACAGCAGCAGGTTGAGCCAAACATCCTCTAAATCAGTGGTTCCCTAATGGTGTGCCGCGGCACACGTCAAGTGCGGGTGTGCCGTGGAATTTTGTGACAACCATGTGTGGTCATTACAATATAATAACAGAAAAATAAAAAGCCTATACGGTCATATCACTACTTTGTTTGCATTCATTTTCACAAAACAGAGGCAAACTACATTAAAATAATCTAAAAAGAAAAAAAAACTCAAGGAGAACTCCCTGACCACGGAGATGCGCAGGTAGGAATTATCATCCTGTGGCGCAAGGCTTTGGAACAGAGCACGATGGACATGTTCCCGCTGGCATCAGCTGCGCCGCAGGCAGCAAAGGACCACGCATTATATGCCGAACACCTTCAGAGCTTAAAAGAGAGGTTTGAGCGCTACTTTCCACATGTTGCTGACGTTGAGGATTACGACTGGATCCGAGACCCATTCAACCAGGAATCTTCAACAGAAAAACTGACAATGAAAGAAAGAGAGGAGTTCGCAGAGCTCCGTGCGGACCGCACATTAAAACTCAAATTTAGTGAGCTCCCACTAGATCAGTTTTGGTTGGCTTCTGCATCAGAATACCCAAACATCTCACGCAATTGAGCAACTTCTTCTTTTCCCCACTACTTACCTGTGTGAGCTGGCATTCTCTACTCTGGTTTACATGAAGAATAACAGGACGTCACGGCTCTCTGTTGAACAGGACTTGCGTGTGGCCCTCTCCTCAGTGCCACCAAGGATTTAACAAATCTGTGCGCACCGACAGGCACACGTGTCTCACTAATTTGTAAGCAGACAAAATATTTACAACAGCACACGTTTCAATGCTGATAAAAAAAATGTTACATTTATTATTTGTAGTTCAGGACAATGGACAGTGCAGCTTCCTTGCATTGACAGTTCTTTGTGCTTAATTTCTGCTGAGTTTTCTTTGCTTCGTTTTTAATTTTGTGAACCATGATTTTAATAGGCATGTGGCTGCTTTGATGAAGCCTATTTTGATGAAGTTTCAAATAAAATTTTGGAATATTTTGTTAATAAATATTTCATGAGTAATATAGTTGTCTTGTCACAATTTATTTTGAATTAGTACATAATTATAACAAATATTTTGCTAAACACGATGGATGACACAGGTTTTAAAGGCTCTTTAGCACAATAAGTGTGCCTTGAGATTTTTCCTTCTCCTTTGGTGTGCCTTGGGCACAAAAAGTTTGGGAACCACTGCTCTAAATGTTCAGGGTCATCTTTGAGCACCATTTCACTTTTCTTTCACCAGTTCACCACAGTTCTTCCAGCAGTCCACACTTTCTCTGCTCTCTTTTTCTCATCATCTTCTCCTTCTTTCCCATCGCCCGGCTTGCCACAGGTTTGCCTGCTGTGTCTAAAAGTAGCAGCAGCAGCAACCCAGACTGACAGCAGCTCATTGGATCATTTGGATCACATGTAGCCTGGTCCGGCACGCTCCGGAGGGCTTTACCGTATTAACAGGAGAAGCGGCTCAAGGGAATTTAGACATGGTTGTCTGACAACATGCGGTCATTTATAAATGTTATAAATCAGGTTGGGTTTCGAAATAGCCAGCAGGTGGGCCCGGATCTGGACCGCAGTCCACTAATCGGTGACCTCTGATATAAATCATACCAATACAATTAGAAATTTACAATTATTGATATACAGAATATTAACTAGACATTAAATATGATCATTTGTATCAGTTATTAAAATAAACCAAAACAAGCATAATAAGCTTTTTAAAATCATAAAATGTAGACAGTAAAGTGTATTATTAGCAATCTTTAGGTATTGTCACAGGACATTTTATCCATCTACTCCCCTCTAAGCTAAACATACCAATCAGGAAGGAGACTTGATTAATTGCTAAGGTTGATAAGAGTTAATCTGGCAGTAAGCAGGTTGATATGTGAAGAACTGAGCTGAGTTCTACGTTCCATCCATCCATCCATCCATCCATCCATCCATCCATCCATCCATCCATCCATCCATCCATCAGTAAGATTCTTCTCCCACACAGGTGGCAGTTTGCCAGTGATGGAGCAGACATCGGCTTTGGAGTGTACCGGCGCTCCAAGGACTGCAAGAGTCAGAAGGTAGCTGAGATGATGCAGGTTCTTCCTAGCGAACGCTACAACGCTCACCTGGTGCCTGAAGACAGCTGTCTGACCTGCTCGGAACCTGGAGTCTGTGAGTATCTCCCTGTTTTGCTTGGTATGCTTGTTCAGACTATATACAGATGTGGACATCTGACACCAGATGTGTGAGAATAAATGTAGTTTATCAATCGCAGCAGGACGCTCTCTGACTGAAACGTCTGAAAATACATTTTCAGTTCAGTTGTGCATTTATTGTATTATTCAACTCCAACCCCAGTAGGGGCGGCAAATATGTTATGTAGCGATATATTGTTCTGTGAACACATGTGTGAGGAATTGCTGAAGAGTCAATGAGTCGATGCAATCAGCTGGTTTTCCTTACATAGAAAACTTTGAATCGATCTGACTGGATGATCTGTTGAACTGTAGATTGCCTTCAGATGACATGTTGTGAATTGGAGCTATAGAAATAAACTGAATTGAACTGAAATTGAATTCTGCATCCTTGTCACAATTAAAATATGTAAATATTACAGAACTGGGTTGTGGATTGATTCCTGTTTCCTCTCTGGCATTAGATCTCTTGTAAATATCAGGCTTTGCTTTAGAATGAAGAACAGCGCCCTCTAGTGGATGAAATCAAATACTACAATAATGAAAACAATTCTAAACAAATAATCAGCAACTAATTGTAAGTTGATTATTTGTTTACATCCCTGATACAATACATACTTTCACACCCTCCACCCCAAACAACACTAAGTGTATAAGATAAATTACAATTTGGCCAAAAAATGAATAACAAAAAATGTTGGGGGGAAAAAAAGCACAAACTAAATACATGTTAATGCAGATATAGATGTACACAACTTTGGTAAGTAACCAAGCCGAATTAATTGCGTGGAATGGAACAAAATAAAAGAATAACACGTAATAAGATAAGGACTAGATTTTATTAATGTGAAGTTAGTCTATTTCCTCTGAGGTTCCAGCAAATTTCCAGAATGTCTACTAGCCGCTGCTGACTGCATCCCTTGTCCTTTGCAGACGTGTTGTGTTTCGACAACAGCTACAGCATCCTCCAGTCAAAGAAGGTGAGCTACAACGTGGAGGTTATCCCTCCTCCGGAGGAACAGGTGCAGCCCCCATGCAGCAGAGGGGATGTGAGACTGCAGTGAAGACGGGGACTTCTGTAAGCTTCCCAGCTGTCGACAAGAAAAATCCTGAGATTAAACCTCAGCATCTCTAAGAGCACTGTGTTTAACTTTCTAATTGGTTGGATCCTTAATTGTGGAGCTAATTTATACAAGGATGACAGGACTAAATGCAGCGCATTGAAACTGAACTGTTGACTATAGAGGCAATAATAAGGAGTCAAGCTGACAGTTTCTTCAAGCATATGTTGTCCAAACAGGAGTAAAGTCATGTTTGCGGCTTTAATCGAGTTCTATTAGCTGGACTGAAGACAAACAAGGCAGGGGTTCCCAAATTGGGGGTCGGACCCCCTTGGGGGTCAAGAGATGCTACAATATTACATTACTATACATTGTTATGTGATCTCTGAGGTATATGGAGGACCAAAATATACCATGAAATAATTGTATTTACGTAACACAAAACACAAACCTTATTTTTCTCCTTAAATAACAACTCTTCATCCTTTACTGCCATCTACTGGTCAGTTTGGAACGTAGATAATGTAGAAGAAACCATCTGACTGAACTTCAATGGGATTTAGGAGCGACCTTTTTATTTCCACATCTCCCTCTCAACTGATTCAGATGGTCATAATAATAATAATTAGGGATGCACGATATTGGGATTTTGGCCGATATCCGATACGCCGATATTTTAAAACTCATGTAGCCGATAACCGATACCGATGTTAAGGCTGGACAAAAATAAGTAGTCATTAAAAATAGCAGTTTTGTTATCCATTTCTGACACTTTGAAAAATAATATACTCAAATATATTTTCATATGCTGATATCAAATAGATTTTTAAAAACGCGGTATCGATCTATTTTACTTTCAAAATCTCGTGAAATTTCATCGTTCTGTTACAAACTCTCCTGATATTTTGCAAATTCTTGTGAGATTTTGTTAGTAAAATAGATCGATACCGCATCAATATATCAACATATAAAAATATGGCAAAATTTCGTGCATTTTCCGGGGATTTTGTAGCATAACGATGACATATAGCAATATTTCATCAGTAAAAGAGATTGATATGGTGTTTTTAAATGGCAATATATCAGCCTATGAAGATATTGTGATATTTTAATGTATCAATATGTTTTCCCTCGTCTTTAGAAGTTTTTAAGTCTGTAAAAAAGAAGTTTTTTTGGAAGAAGAAGAAGTAGTATTTTTTTTTTTTTTTTTTAGACTTTAGAAACTCAGAAGCTGATCAAATATCGGGTTAAATATCGGTGGGATGGCCGATGTCCGATATTCAGTTTTAAGGCCGATACCGAAAGGGGGCCGATTATATCTTGCATCCCTAATAATAATAATAATAATAATAATAGAACTTTATTGATCTCACATTAGAGAAATTTACCTCTGCATTTAACCCATCCCCTCGGGGAGCAGTGGGCCGCCATTGTTGGGCGCCCGGGGAGCAGCGTGGGGTTAAGGGTCTTGCTCAGAGACTAAGAGACGTAAAAGAAAATATGTGTTTCCGGGTAAAAGGAATCTAAGCTGTAAATCCTCCTGAAGTCAAAGAATCCAGTAAAACTGGCCTTTCCACAAATTTTAAATACGGAGTTCATTTTCCAATATTGTAGGAAGTAAAGAAATTGTTTCAGTAATGAAAAAACAAAATGCAAGAAGGAAATTAAACCTCGAAAAAACCTCCTAATCATTCAAATATTTTAATTGTAACTGATGTTTTCTCATATTTTATATTTTGGACTTTTCTTTTCCAATTTTGTTTTGGAATAAAATTAATAGAACAAAATTCACTCCATAGTTTAGCCTCTAGAAGCTTTTCCTGGGCTTATGGCCTCCAAAAGGTTACAGCCGTCCAGACGGCCAAACCTGTAACCTCAACCTCAGGAAAATGAGTAATGAAGGAGGGACAGGTTAAAGCTGCGTGATTAAGCCATGCCTTTTGGGTTTTAAAATCAGGACAATAAATAACCTGTGCAAACCCTACTATAGGAGGATTTTGTTAATCTGCACATTCAACTTAAAATCTATTGTATTTTTAAACATCTCTATGTTTATTATTTCCAGTTCGTCTGCACTGAGAGAAGGAAACGTTTGTTTGATTACTGCTGCAGCTCACTGATAGAAAAGAAGCAGCAGGCTTCTGGGAACAGAACACAGATTTAATGCAATTGTTTGCTCTGGATATTCTCTGTTCAGCTTGTTTGGATTTTATATTAATTCAAATCTATCTAAATAAATGCTTTAGATGGTTAAATAGTCATTAAAAGAAATGAAGGATGGATAAAAATTTGACTTTTTATTACCTTGCCAAACAAAGTATCAGACAATAACCCCATTTCCACTAACTAGCCTTTTAAAACCGTGCTGAGATCCGAGCTCAGTAACCGAGATAACTGTGAATGTAAATGGCACGCAGACCTGAATCGGACCGCGCCAGACACAACCGAACCGTGCTAACATGCTACTAGTTCATCAGTAGGGCTCGGCCCGGTTCAGTTCTGGCTCGGTTCTCAGATAACAAAGAGCGCATGAGGAGAACGCTTCATCTCCTTACTGTCAACCTCCATTTCAGACATTCTTAAAGATAAGATTTCCAGTGATGATTCTGCTTAGCAATGATGATCTGTCATTGTTTTGTTTCTCTAAGCCCTGATTAGACTATCGTTTGTCGTATCCACTTCCCAAAAGCCGACTCTGTCAAGTAAATTCACTGTCTTCGCCTGACTCTCAGCAAACAATGAAATATCACAATTATAAGCAAACTTCCTGAATGTTACGAGCGCCGCCATGTTGGTTTGCTTGTGTACCTCTAGAGAGGAACCGTGCTAGCGTGATGTGTAAATGGCTGTAAGGAACTGAGCTCTGCATGGGTAAAGCCGGGCTGACACTGTGCCACTTTCTGCCCTTTTCATGCCGACTTTCCAGTTGTGTGAGAATTTTTTTTTTTAGTGTACAGGGGGTAACGAGGGGCAATCAGCTTCTCCCGACCACCTCCCCATCAGGAATCGTGAGGTTGGGAGAAAATCAGACATGTTTGAAATTCAGTCTTAGGCAAATCGCTCATTGCGCAAATTAGGTTTCTTACTTTACTTCCACTAAGATGTAAACAGAGCAGCATGGCGGCGGTGCAATGAGTGAAATGGAGTTCTTTCTGTCAAATTGACAGACCGTAGTAGCCACGTTTGCTCAGCCATGTCTTTGTCCAAATATGTCGCCTTTACTTTTTAGGGCTTTCAGCACAAAATTGCACAAATTGCCACAGCAGCGCGTTTCACTCTAGTAAGCTTCATATTCCTCTTCTACTCCTTTGGCTTCCGGATAGACGAGTCAGAATAGCGCCATCTCACTGCGGAGCTGAGTCCAACGTGGTTTTTAGACGTACAGTGTGAGCAGGTAGATCGCATCAGAGCGTCGGGTCGCACAGTGAGAGAACATACATTGTGAGCTGTGAACTTTTAAACCCTGCGTTTTGGTCGTACAATGTGAGCTGTAGCTGCATGCAATGATTGAAAAAAAATCATACAGTCTATTCCCGGCTTAACTGATCTAAGCTCGGTGCGGACTCTGCACAGTTAGGTTTTCAGGGTAGTGTAAATGGGGTAAATGAAAGAGGTTAGCGAAAGCTCTCCATGACGAGGTGTTATTTTTACAAGACGCCAACATTCTCATCCTTTTAATTGAAAAGCTCAACTGAATATATGAGGAGAAATGTTGTCAGAATGCCAAGTGGTCAGAAAATAATTAGTAACTGTTAAGTCTTGGTGTGAGATTCACGCATCCAGTATCATGAGGTTAGCGAAACATCTTTTTTTATTGATTCTCTTCTAAAGAAATAAAAGCTAAAGGACAAAACATTGTTTAAAAAAACAGTATCTTTAACCATTTTGCTACATTTTCCTCCCCTTTTATATATTTGTTAACCTCTGTGGCTGTTTGCTTCTTTCAGTAGGAGATGTGTGCACAGCTATTGCTGCCAAGTGTTTCCTTATTGTTTCCCTTTGAGAGATTCTCTGTTCTCCTCACTTTTGATGCCACACGAGTCGTGTCCTGCAGCCTTGGGTTCGTTTCATGAAGCAGGTTTACAGAAAACTCTTAAGTTGTCTAAACCTGAAAACAGGGAAACTCTGACTTTCCCAGTTCAAAAAGAGATTTTCCTCAACTTCTGTATCTGTCACCATAGTAACATCCTCCTCAGAGCTAACCTGGTCGGTAGCAGGTTTACTTCAGTAACCTCAGAGTCTGCTCTGTCATTCATTTATTTTCTGATTTAGTCAGATTTTTGTTGTAGTTTTGTTCATACCGAGGGTCATTAAAAATCATTAAAAGTCATTAAATTATATTTTTTTCAACTAAGGCCTTAATTGGCATTAAAATTCATTAAATGTGATTATTGTGGCATTTAAAATGCTTTATTAAAAAAAAAAAAAAACAACAACAATTTCATCAGATATATTATATGTTTTAGCAGAACTGCTTCCCGTTGATCGTAAAGCTGTTTGTTCGGAAAAAAAAGCTCAAGGCAGAGAAAAAGCTAGAGGATGGGAAAAGGCTAATTTCAACAAAAGTGGCTGAAAAACGAGGAATTCTGGACATGGCTGCAGCCTGTTGACGGTATAGATGACGAAGCATTTCTTCGTGTTTGACGAGGATCTTATTAAAGTATGATCGGCACTTTTTCAGAGAATGAAATATTTATAGGGAGAGGATTTTACAGCTCAGTTGACAGGAGATGAGATTTCTTGTTTTTGGTTTGTCTAATATGAGCGAGATGCAGATCATTTTAGTTATATTTACAGTACATGAAGAACTACTAAAAATATTTCCAGATTGCAAGTCAATAGATTAATTAATTCCTGTGGGGGGAAGAGGAATTACTTTAGGGTTAGGATTAGAAATCACTCGATGATAACATCCTAATGAGCATACTGGCACCATCTATGGGCCTTATAGCTGTTTATAACGGCCATTTGTCTGCAAACAGACACTTTACTGTGTAAAAGAAGACTCAATATGAGGAGGGACCCATGATGATCCACAAGTTCTGTATATTAGAAAAACCTTTTTATTTTTCATCCTGACCTGACGCCAGAAGATTTCACCTAAATAGTTACATTGATCTACAACCATTCAAGAAATAATCCTGTAATATTTCCATGGTAACAGCATCTATGGCAAGCCGAGATGATATCTACTATTTTTACTGAATATGTATTCCTTATACCTGAAACAAAATTTTTTTTCTTTGTCTATATGACCATTTCACACAAAATGACATTCTCAACATCTAGAATAAACATTCTGGACGTCTA